TGTAAAGTGCCAGTTCAGGGAGTACTGGTAAATGGTATGTAAATTTGTCACACAGCTTTTAGGGGGCAGCAGTGTTTGCTCTTGTGGCAGGCAAACTAAATATCCTAGGCTTTCAGAGGTACTCTTCTAGGCCTTTGCGCCCCCAGGAGGGCCTCTGATGCCTGTGACTTCCTCATTCTGGAAGCAAAAGGCTCTGTCAAGGGCACTCTTGCTCATTCTCTTGAAAGACAGAGAGTGAGAAAAGGAATAATAGAGAGAGTGAAAGAAAGAAGATGGACTTAAAACAAAAAATCCTTATGTCTGGACCTCCTGAAACTCTTATTTGGTAGGTGTGGGATATAGACTGAATATCAAGATGTGTAAAAGTCCCCTTTATGATTCAGATATATAGCAGAGTTTGAGAACCAATGCTTGAAAGAAAGAAACTCTCTCTAGATTAATTTTTCTCCAGGCACAAAAACTCCATTTCACTTGCCTTTTCTCAAAGGTGGTATTTCTTAAAACTTTAAGCACGGCTGGAATGGACACTTAGCTCCTTCTGGAGTCTTAGAGTCAGAGATGCGTTCAGGTCATTATTGGAGTCCAATCATTATTTTTTAACAGAATGATTTATTTTATTTTATTTATTATTATTATTTATCCAACTTACGATGGGGTATCTGCGCTCACCAGAGAGAAACAGAAAGAGAGAGTGAGAAAGTAAGAAAGCAAGCTGCCAGATCTAGGACTTGAACCGCAGTTGGCCATGTGGGAGTCCAGCACCTTAACCACCATAGCCTCTACTGGCCCCCAGAGTCCAATCATTATTATGGGCTCTTTTATTTGTGGGCAAAGTATCTGGTTATCTAAAATGATCTTGTTTACTTGTAGTCCAATTAGGAGTAGAGCATAGTGGAAAGGACCGGGGTGTTAGAGGCAGACAGACTTGGGTACCATTTGTAGTTCTGCCCTTTACTTGAGTGATCTTTGACAGGTAACAAATCTTGCAGCCTCAGTTCCTTCTATTGCAAAATGGGGACAGTGCCTATCTCTGAGAGACAGTTTGATGATTGATTGAGATAATACATGTAAAGTGCCAGTTCAGGGAGTACTGGTAAATGGTATGTAAATTTGTCACACAGCTTTTAGGGGGCAGCAGTGTTTGCTCTTGTGGCAGGCAAACTAAATATCCTAGGCTTTCAGAGGTACTCTTCTAGGCCTTTGCGCCCCCAGGAGGGCCTCTGATGCCTGTGACTTCCTCATTCTGGAAGCAAAAGCCCCATGTCTTCTGGAGACAGTCTTGTTGCTTTGGGGTCCTGACTTTTTTTTTTTTTTTCCAGAATTGGTGTTCCTGTATGTTAAATAGAAAAGCAAGGTGGGCCATCCCATGGCCTGGTAGTCAAGGTCAACCTTGCAGTTTGAGTCCCTTACCAAGTGGGTTAAAAGACATGCGGGTGTGGGGACCAGCAGTTGGTATAATGGCTCTGTTGCTGGACTCCATGTAGTAGACCGCGGTTTGAGTTCCGGACACGGTGGCTTAAATTCACGCCGGGCATCTGTGCGTCCATGCCCAAGATCCTGAGAGGAGAATGGAGGAGAATAGACTGTGGCGTGGCCATCCCACCAGGGGGTGATTTCTCACTTTCTGTCTCTCTGTCTCTCTGTCTCTCTCTTTCTGGTGAGCGCATGCATCCTACCCCAAAAACTACTCTGAAAAAAAATCATGCTGGGTGGGAACAGCAGATGGTGCAGTAGATAGTGTAGTGGTTCTATCACTGGGCCCCCACATGACTGACCATGGTTTGAGTCCTGGATCCAGTGACTTGAAAATCATACTGGTCACATATGTGCGCATGCCAAAGATCCCAGAAGGAGGATGGATGGGAAGGGATAGCAGCGTGGCCATCTCCCCCAGTGGGTGATTTCTCACTTTGCCTGTCTCTCTCTCTCTGGGAGCACATGTGCCCTAAGGCAAAAACCTCTTTAAAAAAAAAAAAAGCTTGCATGCCCTAAATCCCAACAGGAGGGAGAAATATGGGAGAAAGGGTTGCACAGTCTGACCATTCCCCGTGGGTAGTGCTTTCTCACTTTCTCTCTCTCCCTCTCTCTGTCTATTAGTCTCCTGTGAGTGTGTAAACCTTCTGGCCAATAAAGAAAAGAAAAGTGCAAGGCTATTACTTGAATAATAATTCAAATAGAAAGCATTATATGTAAATAATATTTTATGTATGATTTCAATATGTACTCATGACTGATTAATATTAAATATTATAAGTAGTCATTTGGTCATTTTATGTATGTCCATAGAACTAAGAGTTGGTGCTTTCTAATGATCTAAAACAAAACTTTGTTTTGGAATCCTCACTGAAAAATAGGGAATCTTCATTAAAAAAAAAAAAAAAAAAAGCTCAGGATTGACACAGCTTGCTGTGGGGTAGGAGCCTTCTGAGGGGAGAGAAGAATTTGTGGTTAAAGATATTGTGACGTGAAGGGAGCACATGTCCTCCGTGTCCACTGTGGGACCTACTGACAGTGCTGGCACTATGTCCTTGGGATATGCTGGCACCTCTGTGATGATTCCGTATCTCTGCCCTCTGCTGCAGCAGCCTGTTAGAGGGTGATCTTTTCAATCCAGGCCTCTCTTTAGCCACAAGCCTCCTTTGACTTCTGACAAGGAGCCAGTCAGGTTGCCATTTGGCTGCGTGTGTCTCCTCTTATCTGGCCCATGGGAATATTTCTGAGGCCTGATGAGGGTAGGCAGAGGAAACCAGTTGGGTAACCCATACTTCCCTGCTATTCTTATACCTCCCCTTTTTTTAAATAGAGATTTTTGCTTTATGTCCTTCACATGCAGACATATGAACAGAGAGGTAGAGTGCATTGTGATCTTTGTTACACTAGAAAAATGTTCCGGGTGCTGTGGGAACCCACAAGAGGGACAAATTAACTCATCCTGCAGGAAATCAACCCTGCTTCTCAAGGTGGGACATTTGGACAGGTTTGAAAGGATGAGTAGAAATTTGCCTGCAAAGACAGAAGCAA